CAACTATGTTGTTGTAGCTACTGGAGAATCATTGGAAGACCTTTGCTTCACCCGATCCATTACAACGCGTACTAATTTGCTGACTGCACACGAACGCTGTGGATCATTGCGAAGCAATGGATGCGCTTCTCGTTAACCCTTCTAAAGCGTTCGGTACAGTTGCCCACTCGCCCTATATTGAGGATTCCCTCCTCTGTTATTTCTGAGCATTGTTTTTCTCATTTCTTGGGGACAGATAGATGTCTGTCCAATTAGGGTTCTGTTAACCACTCTGACAGTCCGTCCTCAGTGGGGTTCCACAGTGATAAGCCCTCTACCAGCTATTGGTGGTCTGGTATGTAGATTGATGGTCTGAAATGTTGGGTGTACTGTCCCTCATGTTTGCAGCCAACTTGTTGGTCTGGTACCCAGATCGACTTCGGACCTGGTCTGTTTTGTAACAGTAACCTATGCTGTATGACACGTCTTTAGCCTCACACACAGCTAGTAGCTGGTAAACCAGTTACCAACGCACTTCCTCGAGTCCGGACGCCTTGTTTGTTCCAGCAGAGCGCTTTCATCTCAAATCACTTGCAATCAGATTCATTACATCAGCGCCTTACTCCAGTGTAGGTGACTTAGGTATTTTCGCTGTCCTGATAAACTGGTCTTCGAAATGCACATGTCTGACAATGGAACCACTGTCCATCTTTCCCGACTATTGTCTAGCCAACCTTTGGTATCTTTGGTCCCGTGTCCCGGTCTGGCTGAAGCACTTCTTGGCTGTTGGCAATCGCACCAGCTTCCCTCATATGATGGGTCTCTGCCACCCGCCAATGTTCCCGGGCATCTAGGTATTAGCAGCTTCTAGATCTTCCTATCTTGTCCGATTTCACACCAGCTCCAAGTCTCAACCAAGCCCGTCAATATATTGTTACCCAAATAATAACAATAGTAATACTAATAATAGTAATAATAATGTGTCAGCTGTACGCTGTAACGGCGCTTCGCTGCCGTTGTATAAAAGGTGTTGGAAGTGCAGCTACCGAAAGTGGTACAAGTAGTCTGAACTTTAGTGGATATTTTTGTCAACGCATGGACGATTATATTCCGTAACTGCCCTGATTGGCAGCGTCCGCTCATCAAGGGGGATGGTGTCACGCACGTCACATGATGGACGTGTGTCCCGCAAACGACTTGGTGCCTAGGCTGTGCATCTTTGGATCAAATCATTTTCCTTGAAATAGTGAATTGTCCCCGTAGACTCCCCTTCCTCCTATTTAGCAGTACACTGGTACCCCTTCCCGACACGCGACCAGCAGTTGTGCGAGAGCCATGGATACTTCTAAGCCCCCCCCCACACCTGCACAAGCTCGAACCGGCCACTGATTGATTACAAATCAGGCACCTGAATCACTTGCCCACCTGCTGGTCTGTTCCAGGACTTCTACTCAGACGTCGTTTCACGGTGTTGTGGACATCAACTGATCATGACACCAGCAACATCGCTCCATTCGTACTCTTTGTCATACGAATTAAGCAGAAGATTTGTTGACATGCTCTATCTTGGATGGCTGTGGTCGCTTGGGCAAGCACAACGGGAGCAGGCTTTTTCGTCCTCGTGTGGTACTCATTAGCCCCATTGAGAGTTCGAGGTCACACCACCCATGCAGCAGTTTATCAGGATCCATTTGAGTAGGTTGCCCCCAAACTTTCTGCTGATCACAACGTTGTTGACTCAGCATCGCCAAACCCTAGAAGTATGACACAGTATGGTATATTGTAGACTGCACTTTCTTAGTCAGTTGGTCCAATGGTCATCATAATCCTGCTCGCTCGTATGCGTCTTTCGCAGCATGTACACAGCGAATCCAGGTGAGCGAAAACATAACCATGGATACCAAACTGATTTGGGTGACGCAGAGTACGGGCGTTGAGGAAACCAACATGAAACTGAGTCTCTTGGTTTGAAGGACGATTTGCTCATCTCGTTCGCAAATTTCGTTTTGGAGCTTTGAAAGCTAGATGAACTAAAGAAAGAATTGCATCCAAAACGTGTTCCTTTTGGCGTACCACAGCAGGCATCTTGCAGAAATCAAGAACAAGTCTATTATTGTCGTTATTGTCATTGTATTACTCTCTCTGGCTGGCATCCAGCCTTCGATTCATTAGTTATACTAACGAGGCATCGAAGAGCGGATTCCGCTCGGGAGCCCGATTTCATAGATCAATTGAGACTTGCTTGGGACTTGCTGCGCTCATTCTTGCTCAATTCAGAGCGATCTGTGCGCTTATCGATCCTCGTACCTCATACACCTGGAGATGAAAGTTGACTGGTTTCTATCTTGTCAGCTAGTGTGTATCTGTCTTGAAGCAGATTGCTGCAAGCGTTTGAGCAAGAGCTATGTTTCCCACCGATACACAGCCGTTTACTCTCATACTCTAAACCAGTTTAGCGGTTTATAACAAACTATTGTCTCCCACGGTTGGTTTATGTTGAAGGAGAGCACTCTGCCTTTGTTCAGTTGGCTGGCGTATCTCACACTATCGCGTTTATCTAGCATTTGCGTTATCATTGTTGTCCTATCATTTATGTGCCATTTTATGCAACGCTTTGACCTACGTCACATCAGTCCAGTCCCTTTTAGCACTGGTTGTGACTATAATTATCCTGGCATTGTCTCTTTTCAGAGATCCCAGTCCCTTTCTCTCCGCGCCACTAAGTTCAACTTTTGACGCAAGAAATTCGTCAATGGTAGGTCATATTCATGATGTTCTCTTTGCATCATTGGCTTTATGACGTTCCTACCCGAGCTTGGCTTCACTTTGTTACCTTTTGTATTCGGTCCTTCTTGTTGTCTCAACATAGCATTTGCGTATGGGGATACTTGGGCTGTGTCTCATGCGTTTCGTTACTCTTGTTCCTTTATCACTGTTTTGCTTATTTCCTTTATCTATTACACTGTCGCAGAAGCTGTGCATCAGGACGTACAACCGTTGTTCGGATGCCTGGCCGCGATACATCAATTCAATGCACTAGTGTGATACTGATAGCTAATGCTGATGCCTACAGATTAGCGGCTTTTCCACTGCATTCATTTCGAGGTTTTAACTCGCATACTGGGCTCATTTAGTGATTTATTTGAAAACGGTCTTTATATATGTCGGTCGCTTTATCCTATCAGACAGTTTCGTTCTTAGTGTCTTTGTTTACTGGGCAGATGTACTCCATCCAATCTGCCGCATTTTTGTGGACTGTTGTATTTTCAAAAAGTTTATCTGCGTTGTATGATATGGTCAGATCCCTCGATTCTCGGTAAGCCGGATTACTCCCAATTTCATAGTGCGTTTGCACCGCGGAGCGCAATACATGGACCGTAGTTATGTTCGGGTTGGTAGACGCGTATTATGTCCGTGTATTGTGTTCGAAAATCTGAAATTTGTTGTTATCCAACTGAGTAGTCCAATTCTCCACAGCGCTAGTGGTGATTGGTACCACGGATCCGCTATCCCTCCATGTCTGCATTACTACCCCCTACGGATGATTAGATGCGATTGATCAAATCACCTTCAAGTCAGTCTTATTGATTAATAACAAGAGCAATGACAACGCATCGGTGGCCGTACTGATACTTGGCTATCCTAAGAGCATAATAACTCTACCACTGGAGAATTATAACAGGAGAGTAGAGGAACCTGATGTAAGATACAGGTGTCAACAACGCACGATTACAGACGGCTGACTGTCGTTTGAGAACAAGACGGCATCGATGAGGCGTTTTTCTTGCGGCTCACATGGTCTCGCATTCCAATCATCTTTGTCCCGCAGGTAATTCATCACCATACGCCTTTTGAAAAGCAGCTCGATTGGGGATAATGACCAGCATGCCGCGGTCATCGACAAGGCGCTGTCTTGTAGTGTCTCAGGCCAAACACGAAGTGAGTTGGCGAGGTCCCTGACCTGGAAACAGACGGACCGACGGCGCCCATCGTAATTCTTGTCTTGGCATTTTTCAATGAGAATTACACGGTTTCCTATCTCCAGCCTTATGTCATTCGGCAGTCTAAATAAGCTCTGTTGGATACTCGATGAGCAGGCATGCTTAGCATTAACCCGGCTGGTGCAGTTGTGCAATTATGTGTGTTTGTTTCACTAATTGATGTGACCATCATACCCTGATGCCTGTCTGCACATTGTGTTGTAGCGGACACGCAGGTTACACTCGACGCGAACGATGCTTTGTAAGCCACGATTGTCGGTGACCTGCTAACGCATGGCATCTCAGGACAGAAGCCACCGTGTCCTGCTGTTGTGGACGAAGACGGCTCTCTTCATGACCTTACATAATCTTTATGATCAAGGGACATTCTGTTCTGGAACCTGGAAAGTCACGCACTTCTAAAGCTGATTCCAGATTTTGCAGTACTTGGGCTACTTTCAGCATGCACGCCTCAACTGCTTCTAATACAGCTGTCAGGATGATAAACTAATCAGCGACTCTTGGTTTCTCGCCTTTAAATTGGCTAGTGTTCCTCAAAACGTTTCACTTTCAGGGCACACGCATGCCAAAGGGTGAAGTCATTCCTGCTACTTCATCCAGCGTCAATGTAGTCGTTACCGAATGCCTCCGACAATTCGCCGTAGACCTCTGAGTAGACCTTGGATGTTTGAGAATTGATCACTTACCACTGGACTGAGCACTTTATAGGTCGAACACACTCTTGAAGTCGACTAAAACAACTGGTCGGTATGCGGTACGTATATATTTACCTTAGGGTGGAATCATTATCTACACAACATCTGCTACGATCCAACAACCTTTACCATTTGGAAATCTGCTTTCACCCGGAGGCACTGTTAAGAAATACAGCGGTGGATGGGAATGAATACTGCTATCGGCATCAAGCTTCTATCACTGCGATTAGCACAAACACTGCTACTGCCCTATTTAACTAGTGCGAACATGATCGCTTCGACCATCTTGATAAGAAATTGTTCTTTCTCTCTTACCTGTTGAAACAAATGAGCAACTTCTCTGCAGAGAACATTTGCCACTGTTGCATAACGCGGGCATCTGCGAGTAAACGGTTGGATGATTTTGCGGCCTTTCGATCTTCAGGTTTATTTGCAATATTTATCTTCACGTACCGTCACTTGAAGGAGGGAAGTCTAATGGGCTGGACTGCAACTGAACTGTTTCTGTAAGTGCTTTGCTCAACGAGCGCGATGGGACTCCTTATTTGGTAACTACGGTTCCGCTGCCTTCCATTATTGTATCGCCAACGGATGGGACCAGTAGCACCGTTCCGTTGGTGAGTTTGTGGAGGTTACTCGCTACTTCTTCCCTATTTCTTGGATATTTTCTATTCACTGAGTCACATCGTATGCTTGCGAAGTCGGCCTCATCTCATTCCCGATATCTCTTCCTGTTGCATCCTGCTCGATGTTAGCCTAAATTCTTTCTGGATTCTAACAAGCTCACCATTTTTGTGTGTCGGGTGTGTTGACAACGGATATTGCAGTAAGTAGTTGTTTCTGAACCATAAGTGGCGCCTGAGATACTTTTCCACTGAAACTCTTGTTTTTGTAGGAATTATTTGAGTCCAATGTACAGCGACTATGCAGTCTAGGATCTGTCAGCGACTCCATTCGTGAGGAACTGATTTTTTCTTCAATAGCTTACCTTTCAGTCTCGTGCCGCTAGTGTCCTGCTTCAGCCCCGAGTTCACATGTGATGGGAATTTTTGACTAGTTGCTTTCATTGCCGTCTCACACAGTTGCTGTTTTCTTAGACACTGACATCTGTTGCTCCCTGCTCTAGTGACCGATCCCACCGCTTTTTTGGCGTTACTTTGCAAGGTACAGCATTTTGTAGTCGACTACTCGCAATCCAGTACAATCTTCTGATGAAACTACCAGTTTCTTCGAATTTCTTTTCCCTATCTTGCTCTTCTCAATTCTGCGTTCTTGGTTTCACAATTGTTGTATATGAAAATTACGAAAGGTAACTCGACCTTAGCAAAGTGCGGTTATTTGCGTATCTCAGCAATACATTGGGCTACACTGGGTAGCGATTCGCAGGTGTCATCAGAGCCGCTTACATCGGACAGGCCAAAGGTTATGGGTCATACAAAACCACCCTTATCATTCTCTTAGCCGGAAACAGTAGATAAGTCGATGACCCTCTCCTGTCTTCAACCGGTTGCTGAAAGCATACAGTGTCTGGGATGTACTCCAAAGGACTGGTGGGGGTCGCGCGACAACGAAGCGTCAGATTGGCGCATCTGAGTACTGCTGCTTACTTTTTCTTTCTCCTCTCAAACTTGGCCATGACAATCAGATTCAATTCGACTAACGCACAGTACAGACAACCAAATTCATCTCAACTCAAAAATTCACTTTTATGCACCCATGAAGGTTGGATTTTCAGATGTAAAACACGCGCGATTGAAAAGGTAAATAAAACGATATAACACATGCGAAAACATTAAAAAACGACGTCTAAAACTATCTTTCATGTGTGGTACAGCGTCACTAACGTAATTCGCTGCTCAGTTCTTGTATGATAGTGCTCGGATCAAGCAGAAATCTAGCTAGATAATGTATGACAGATGAGCCGTATGCCCGCGTGCGGGCATACGTGGCTCTGCAGTTTTCTTGCGTTGAGGAACTAGATTTGCAATTGGATAAATCGCTATTTAAAGGATGGTTGATATCAGTGAGTATTTTCCAAGCAAGTTTTGAGCATGAATTAGTATGAACTGATACAATGTGTTGAACTAAGGTTGGTTTAGAAACACCACTGCATCGAGATATGTGTTTCAGCGACCTATGAAGTAGTTTGAAATGCTGACCCAATAGGCCCAGAAAGATCACAGGAGAACAGTAGATCCAGTGTGGTGTAACGCATGCAATGATGAATCGCAGGATCAACTGGTGGGAGACTGAGGACGAACGAAGACGTGTGGCATAAAAGGACAATCGCTTGAAGGTATGCGCCGGCTCTTGTCCTTCGATAACGGGCGCTTGAGGAGTATTACTTGTGTGTGGTGATGACCACATATTTGCATCGCTGAACTCAGACGTCGTGTCTTAGGAAATGCGAGTATTCCCTTCAACAAGCTGGTTTTGCTACACCAGTTAAGATGGCTGGACCATGTCCTGCGTATGTCCGCTGAGCCTCTGCCCTATCGCGCTCTGTTTGCTCGCGCAGGACTCAACAGGAAGAGACCACGTGATAATCCACCATACGCCTGGCGGCAGCAAATGAAATCGTTGGCTTCACGTCTTTTTACCATTGGATCCACACGTCTGCCTGGTTGGGGACCAAAGGACGAGGAGTGCCAATGGCTGGAAACAGTTCTGGATATGGCTCTTAATCGAAATCAATGGAGGATCTGTGTATATAACTTAGATTTGGATACTTAATGCTTAAGGATTAAAAACGAAAATAATTAAAATATGGCGCGTTCAAAATAACAAATAATTCCCGTTTTTTATATTGCGGCATAATGGATGAAGTGTGTTGCTCACCTTCAGTTAATGTGCCATGATGCTGATACGGTGTTCAACCTGCCTTCTGTTAGTGATTTTCATTGTTGTGTTTGGCTCTATGTCTATTTGGTAGACACCTGACTATAATACTACTACTAGTTACTTTACTGATGAATACTTCATTCACGTGCATTGACCACGATAAACCTTCGCTCAGTGTGATTCCCAGATACTTCACTGACGTCTAGAAGCTCAGGCTTCCACCACTGATGTAAAGTTGGGGACAGTCAGCAACGATCTGCCTTATGCCGCGAAAACAGTGCACTATTACACTTGGAGATATTCAGCGTTAAACCGTGAGAGTTTGACCAATACACGATTTTATCCAAACAACATTGTAGCATCGTTGAAGAGTCCGAAGTTAGATTATTCGCACGAATTGGTACGTCGTCGGCGTGTTTTAGCATTATGGTTTCTTCAGGGACAGGGGAAGAGCCAACATAGGTAGAGAATAAGAATGGCGACAAAATGGCTCCTTGAAGTACATCGGAACTAGTGGCAAGAGGCAAGGAGCTCCTGCCGTTGAACGTGCTTATCTGAGTACGTTTGGCAAAATAATCATGTAGCAAGAAGGCTATGGATGGTTGGATACCAGAAGCCGGGGGATCTTGCAACAAGATTACACGGTTAGCACAACCGAAGACGTTAGTGTAGTTAAGGAGGCATTCACGTGTGGCTTTGTTCTTGCTGTCTGGTGACAATAGCACTGAGTGTACTGGACAAGCCACTGCGTCCTATGTCGACCACGAACTTCAATATGCAACTTGGTATGCGTCATTCAGAAAGGGTTGGGTTAGAAAATTTTCAAGAATGGATTTCTCGAAGACATTTAATGCCACCAAAGTGCACGCAATATGTCGTCGCTTTCTTGGGTCTTGGTGTTATGCTATCAGCTCTCCAACAGTGCCATCTTGGTTTAGGCAAATGGTGTATAACTCGGCTAGCTGTCGGGCTAGTGGATGTGCACACACCTTAACTACGAAAGGAGACAACCTGTCAGATGCGCTTGATTTGCTTGAGTTTAGCTGGGTAAGCTTCCTATGAAGTGCTACCACCTTAACAACTGGTGATGAGTCTGTAAGCCACTGAATCTGTGCAGATGACGAGTTGGGGAGTGAGTCACTGCTGGAGCAGCAGAAGTTGCGATTTAATTCTGGCATGTATTCAATAAATCTCCAGTGTATCCTGAGCAGAGAAAAATTAGGATGCAGATGCCATCAACACCTCTGTTTTAGAGGTATTCAAGCAACAACTGAAAGAAATGCGCTTTGCCACTAGTGAAGAAAATTTACCACAACGCAAAAATGTTCTGAATGTCCAGCCTGGAGAGTGTCTTGAATACAACCGAGGAGCTTGTTACCGGAACCATGCCGTGTACTAAACCAGAAGGTGACTTGACTGTCAAGATTTATCTAAGAGAAGCCGATTACTTGTCCTGTATCGGTGGTTTCAGTGACAACCGACTAGAAATATTTCCTGATTGTGATGACGAGTGTGTTCCACCATCAAAGAAGGCTTATCGAACTCGAAAAACCATTTCTGTGTTATTTGTTTAGTATTTAATAGTGTTATAGGTGCGTTTTGTAACTTTTTTCACACATAAACAGTGGACTTGCTTACTCTTGCGGTATACAATATTGGTTCTGTGTATGTGATGTCTTCATGGTCAAGTTATCCCCATTATGAGGTAACTTTGGCCATAATATATATTTTAAAACAACTACCTTAAGGATGTAGAACTGCATCAGTTAACATTTTCTACAACATTATAATACTATGGTCCATGAACAGAACACTTAATAATTGATCAAAAGCACTGATGAATGTGGGGTACATTCCGAACCAAAAAAGTGGGCCAAAGTTACTTGGTTTTACAGTCTGTAATGATGAAACAAACGACCATTTATACTGTACGCAAATTTTAATCACTTTTCTACTATAGCACACGTCCGCTAGCATAAATCTTTGCTAGCTATCTGCTTTGGGTTCATTAGATCGCGCTCGTCGTCCGTTCACTGCTGTTTGCACCACTCCTATATTGGCTGGAACAAAGTTGGGCTTTGTTCACTATACCGCAAACCATTTCTGACCTATACATCTGTTTCGTGCAAATGGTCAACATGAACAGGCGGCGCTGCTTGACTTCCCACCCGCTGGCTCCATCTATTCCCCTCTGCTCGGTCGATCAGCCGCCACCGCGCTACGCCCCTCCCACCCAGGGTCAGTGTCGTGCGCCAGCAAGTCGCTTGTCTTTGTCCAGGACCCGAGCTGTACTTGACACACAACAACAACAGCCTATAAAAGATATGGAGCCATCGAGTACCATATAAATCAAAAATGATTGAGCACAACGCAGCTCAGTTCTTGATTTCTTCACAGGGCGTTATACTACTCGGTTGCTCAAGCCGAACTAAAGAGCCGATTAACGGAACACCACTGTGAGCCTTCGGCTCAATAGCCTGTCCGCAAGGCAGCAGAGCGAAGTCAAAGAATCACACTTATTCGGCGCCGTCTTTGTTTTGGTGAATTGCCAGTCGGGAGCCCGATACACCGCGTCCAGCCTCCGGACTTCGATATTCCACCGAGGGTAAACGCGTGTCAAGTCACATTCACCACTTCACATTATGGTTAAACGGATCTATATAGCTTTTTATGAGGAAAACACTTGTCGGGCAAAAGCACACCACATCGTGAAACACTGTCACTGAATCGTTTGCTGGAGCGGGATAAACCCGGACTACCCAGCTGGTACTACGGG